ATATGCCACATTTCCTGGGAGTAAGAAAATAAATTGGACCTGCTTGTAGTGGACTTGAAGGATAGTGAACCTTTAAAAAAGTAAGTGAGCTAGATACACTTTCATAATTATCATAAAATGTTACCTTTTGAGCATAATCGAAGCTATAATGTGCTACAATATTTAACATAGCAAGTGGCCTTGTTAGTGGGGGATTGTAATTGTTTGCTGCATCAGTATACAGCCCTTTTAACAATAATTGTGCCTCTTTTAATACATCCTTATAGTACTGCCTTTCCTTTTTAACAAGACTAGTGCCTTTTGCATTGCCTGAAAATTCTAAATAATACTTGTGTTATTACAATACTGACTTACCTCAGTTATCCTTTCATCTGATTGCATGTTAGCACTTCTTATAATCAGTCCACTTATCTCTTTACAAGTGGCACACAAGTCAGACATAGGCTTCATTTTTTCAATATAAGGCAGGTAGCGTCGCCACAACATGTTGAATGTTGTTTCAGCACATGCTTTGACATAAAGCCCTTCACATGATTCCGCATACTCTAAGTATACCTGCCTTTTAGATGTACTGCATGGTAAGAAGTTCTTATTCTCGTAACTTTTCATTCCAGGTATTCTTCCAGGAAGACTGATTCCATGGACTTCAGTGTAATTTCTGATGAAAGCAACAACCCGAAGAATATCATTATAAGTCAAAGCATGGTTTGGTGTCTTTCCAGCATTTCCGTGAACTCTAATAAAGTTAAGTACATAACATTGAATTTGTAAGTCTCATACCTTGGTATTAATCCATTCATTCTGTAGTTTTTCATGATTTCCTCAAACCTGCTTTTGCCACATGCATGTAGCTTCAGAAATGTTACTCTACATATCTAGTTGAAAAACGATTAATTTTGTGTTGTGTCACTCATAGTTACAAACCTTATGACCTTGATGCATGAACGTAAAAAATTGCCTCTTTCTCTCATTCTGTCTCCTGTGGTTGCCAGTCGACAATCCCCCCATGGTAGATGTTGCTGCCATTTGACTCATAATAGCAATTTCTTGAACAGGCTTTGCCATGGCTTGTATGTCACATCTATATGTTTTTATGTAAGAGTGACTGAACAGTGCATAGCAATTATCTGAGCAACCACATCCATGTTCAAAGAACTTTGATAATTCTTCTTCCTCCTGTAGGTCTTCCTTCCTCATGTCATCACCAGAGTGAGTAGTTGAAGTAGCTGGAGCATCAGGCATCGCTGATTCTAAATCAAGATCTGATACTTGTAGCTCCACAGCCACCTCAGGATCAAACAGTGGTGGATTAATATCTTCATCACAATCTTTTGTCTCTTTCTCTTCTTCTTTCCCTTCCTCTACCTCTTCTTCCATATCTTCTACTGCTTCATAGTCTGTCTCTATCAATTAACAAATACACTGTATAACTAAGTTTATTATAATAACATTGTGCATTTATACAGGTGATGGAATGTCATTGTTGTGATAGCTAACCGCTATTCACAGTTAGTATGCAAACAGTGTTATGAATAAGCTTACCACTAGTTTCATCACAAAAGTAGTCCCCAAGAACTGAAGCAACGTAGTCACTGTCTCGAGGACCTATTTCTTCATTTAACAAGCGAGCAATGTCTCTTTCTGTAGCCATAGTTTTTACAAGTAGTCTTCTTCGTCTTTGTTATACTTTAAATAGTTGCTATAGAGACTCCATGGTTATCTAATGACGCATTAAAGCCTTCCGTTTTTATTCCGTTGTCGCTCCGTGTAACATTCTCCGTGCAGAATCAAGGTAAAATGTCGAAGGGATATAACTCGGCAAAGAAGGCTTCGCTACCCCTGATTTTGGTATCAAATGAAAGGATTTTGTTTATATAACATGTTTATGTGATAAAATGAATTTCGCCCAGGTAAAGATTTTTCATGATTATGAGCCCATAGCTCAAAATGATAATTCCAGCAGATAGCCTGGTTTTCTCATATCGGGTGACATATGCTGAGGAAGAAGTAACTAACTGAGGTAGTCTTGACGAGAGTGAAGGATGTAGGCAAACATTACATTTGGTACTAATTGAATGTCTTATTTTGTACAGATAACTCCTCAGTAATGTAGAGGGACACATTGTTCTTGTCCAAATCTTGCTTTGCAGTGTTACACCAATATGAAGTTTCCCTCTTATTCTCATAACCAATATTATTTGCAGGTAGCAGCCGATCATTATGGCCGATACAGTATTATTGTTGCATTAATTATACTTTTTAACAAGAAAATATTAAAGTGTATGTAGTTGTTTAAAAAATTTGTTACAGCCAGAGCCATAGCAGTTTTTACCTTTAAAAAGGGCGTGGCAAAGGGACATGGCTTGATTAATTGGTGTCTTTCTCATTTTTTACTATTTCTTATATTTACTATTATAATTAAATTTTAATGAATATCTGCTAAGTTTGAGTTAATGTCAATAAACAGCTTCTAAATAAATACTTCTTAGACTACAGCTGCTTCTTTTCAATCTATGATGATTCTTCCACGAGCTCCTCACCAACTCTGAAGTAAAATTATCAATGCATGCTTTTAACTTATTTTTTTGCTTCCACACCTACACCTTGAACAACTCTTATCTTCACCAGACCACTTTAAAGGTGATTGCTACAGGCCTTGCAAGGATATTGAAGACCAAGAAGATTTAGAACTCACACCTGTTGATCTAGAGACGCCAGTCTTGAAGGAAATATGAGCAAAATGAATTGTTGAGATGTTTCAATACATTAGGGAGTTCATCATTTATTGTTTTGTTCATTCTGGAATTACAGATGGAGTCATTGATGTGAGAAAGTAAAGGCACTTTTGATACTGATAATAGAACCAATGAAGGTTTTGGCACAACAGAAGGTGATGAAACTAGAAATATTGACAGTGATACTACTATACTATATCCACCTGAGTTTCACACCAGCTACGTGGCATTTCAGAAATGTAATACACGTCACTAATGACATCTTATAATGATATTCACATAAGCATGGCTAACATTTTACAGCTGCATGCTTCGCCTAAGTTTCACTGTTAAATCTGTTTTGTGTGTTCCGATAAGCAGTATAATAGCTGCTGCAGTCAACTAGTTTTCATAAAGGCAATCATTGTCAAAAAATCTTGCTCTCTTAGTGTTTAAAAATGAGAATTATCAGTTTGGGCACTTGACCACTTGTTCTTATGTAAACTATGACAAAAGCAATTGTCAAAACGTCA